TAGACTACGCTGGCAGCCCTGATCTGCATGCAGAAAAATATTTATTATCATGCCTTTAATTAGCAATTGTGTGGAAATATGTGTGAGGTCCCACAGGGACACAGTGGAGAAGAACTACCTGATTTAGGGGACAGTATGAACTTTGACTTGGGTTTATTTCTGGATGGATGTTTCTAGAAGGAACATCTGCTCTACTCAATTTTTTTTCCTGATCAAGTAGACTTTATTCTAGAGATGCTGAGATGGTTCAAAATATTCAAATGAATAAGCATAATCTATCACATAAACAGATTCAAAGACAGAAATCACATGATTCCTGGGCATGTATCTCAGTGATAGAAGACTTAGCCAGCGTGCCAAGACTCTGAGTTCAAGCCTCAATACTGAAAAGAAAAAAAATCTATTCTGAGAAGCCACATGATCTGCTCAATTTTTTTTTTAAATCCATGTCATTCGGAAGTTAATCTTAAGTGTCCTGAAATAATGAAATGGAACACGTATCCAGCACTGAGTCCATTAAACTGTACAGATAGCTCCCAGTACTCCAAGGCCTAGAATGTCCATGTATATAAACACCAGTGTTCTAGTTCTCTTGTCTCCTTATACTCTGCCTTCTGTTGATTATGAACATGAACAATCTTTGGTCTGGTCTAAAAACTTACTAATGAAATTTCTAAAGTATAACCTTGGTAATGCTCCTATATAAGATCTCCTAGGGACCTTCTACATCCTTCAAGATAAAATTCACATACTCCTTAGCACGGCCCACATAACCATGCTCTACTTCACTCAGCAGCATATTTCTTACCTTATTTGAGTTACACGTTCAGCAGTACCCAGGGTAGACTCCACATGCACTATCGTCTCTCTTACAGTTTTGCACATGCATTCCTCTGCCTCTGCTTTCTGTCTCCCTCCTGGCTTTTGAAGGCCTGCTTTTGTCAGCTTTGTGTCATTGTAACAAGTACTTGAGATCATCAACTTCAAGTAAAGAGAGGAGATCCATTTTGGTTCATTATTTCAGGAGTTTTATTCTGTGATTGGTTAGACCCATTGTTTTATTCTTAGCAACATGTCATGGTGGGAATGTGCAGAAAAGCAAAAATCGTCACATCATGCCCAGGAAGCAAAAAAGAGAAAGAGAAAGGAGTCACGTTTGAGGGCATATCATATCCTCAGTCACCTAAAGACGTACATGAGGCCTTACCTACTAAAGATTGCAGCACTTCCAAATAGCACTACACCTGGGGACCAAGACTTTAACATGAGCATTTTTCATTGCAAAGATTCAGCTTTCTTTCCTGAGAAGCCCCATCTAAGTATGCTACCCTCTACTTCCTCTTCCTCCTCTCCCTCCTCCTTCAATTACTACAACTCCTCCATCACCCATCTCCTCCTCCTTCTCTTTTTCTTGAGGCAGAGTCTCACATTGTAGCCCAGGCTGGCCTGGAACTCACAATTCTCTGCCACATCCTCCTAAGTGCTGGGATTGCAGGTGTGAGCCACCATGCCCTGCTAAACTGCCTGGGTCTTTCTTGCACTTCACAAGATTTTCCGTGATTCCTGCACCCGATCAGCCTCTACATAGTGAGCTCTTAGGCTCCTGCATCATTATGTCTTCCCGCTGGCATAGTCTTGACTCATTTGTGAGTGAGTCACACTACCTTAGTGAGAAGTCCCAGTTATTCCCCTAGGTGCACTAAACTGGATACCCAGTGAAAGCCTGCTTCTAATGCCAGAGTCCTCTGTTTGTGAGAAGTATTATCTTGTGGAGCAGAGATGAAAATGCTTGGAGGAAGGACCACAGGCTCTTTTTGATTCTATAAATGCAGCAGGGTAAAAGATCCTACTGTCCTGAAAAAAAGTTTGCAGCTATATACCAAGCCTGCTTTTAAAAAACAAAGATTTGTATTTTATGTGTAGGAGTGAGTGTCTACACATATGTATGTGCACCACATGCATGTCTGATACCCACAAAGGCCAGAAAAGAGTGTTAGATCCCCTGGAACTGGTTACAGGTGGGTGTAAGCTACCTGATGTAGGTGCTGGGAACTGAACGTAGGTCCTCTGTAACAGCAGCAAACACTCTTAATCACTGAGCAATATTTCCAGTCCCATCAAGCCTGCTTTTGAGTAGTTTTTAAAAAGTTTTAAAAAGTTACCCACTGTCCTTGGAGGAAGGACAGAAGTGGTAGGGTGGCACATGTAGAGACGTTTCATGTGCTCTCTGGTAAACAACCATGACTGTGATTTCAAAGTACTATAACTTTATAACCATTCATGGGTTGCTACCACAGTGTTCTGGGGCCTAAATCCCACATTCTGCTATGTAAGTGGTAATTCAAGACTGAGCTCCAACATCAAGGCTAGGTGAGAGCTAGCGATCCAACAGTGGCCGCCCATACTCTGGAAATCCCATCTTCCTTATGTCAGGTTGATAAATCACTTTGAGATTCATACACAGGTGTTTGAGAAACTCTCTGGAAGGGAATTCTGGACTAGCTGCCTGTAAGCCAATTATGTGCTTGGAAAATTATTGAAAATATAAAAGAACTGTGGCTGTATTTCAGATTCTGAGTACATGAAGTATTCATATGGACTGCAGTAATGAGGAACCAGCAGCTCATCAGATGGGTCATTTTTCCTCCCACTGACTCCTGGCACCAGCACTACAAAGGGCTCCACATGAGGTGTGGCTAACAAGGATGCTATTCTGAGATGCTGAAGGACCTATTTTGTTGTGTTGTTTTAATGTTGCAACAATTATGAAATAAGAATCTAAAAGTTGGAATTTTTCTCTTCTCTACCTCTAAAGATAACGTTGTAGGCTCTGAACAGGAGCTACTGCACCACCCTGCCCAGTCTTATCCAGCTCCACACCCTAGCCCCATCACCTTTATCTGCCATTCCACTTGATCAGTAGTGGGTCCCCAGTTGTGTGTCTGTGAGCCTCTTTGAGCTGTGCATCTGTTCTGCTAGTTAGATTCATGGCTACATTTCTCACATCTTTTTGTAAAGCCCCTCCCCCATGCACACATTATGCCCGGATGGTATTCTCTGTTATTGCATGATGAAACCTCAGAACTATTTCTCTGTGATTTTAGGTCCATACCCTCTACTGTTCTCCCTCCCTTTTCTTCCACTGTACATTCTCAGCAGCAGGCCAGCCAGCTTAGTAAAGGAGGTAATAATTAATCATGCCACCCGAAAACCCACCACCTGTTCCTACCCACTCATCCGTCCTGAGAGGACTGAGTTTCCAGAGCTCACAATCTCATTAGTGTTTACTATTTTAAATAAATGTTTCATTTTTCCCCTGGCTCCTTGGTTCCTGTAGGCTCCAGCATGGCACCTTAAGTGATTGTGTGATTCTGTAGCAGATACAGAGGACCGGTAGCAGATACAGAGGACCTGGAGTCAGCTGAGGCTGACTGATACCTGTAGCACATGCCTTGTACCTCTGAAAGCTTTCAAAGGAAAGCAGAGAAGTGATGTTTCTGTTGGCTCGCAGGCTTATCGAAGGAATAGGGTTCTGTTCCAGGATACTTAGGAGGGATGGGGTGGCTGTCATGCTACTGCTTGCTGTGTGGCAGTCATGGTGATGGTAGATGACTCCAGTTTTCCAAAATCATATATTACCTCCCGGTAGCTGCCCCTAATGGAACCCTAGTTCCCTGGTGGAAACACTTGAAGCTCACAATTGGGCCTTTGAGGAATATTCCATATTGGAGGGGCAAATACATTTTGAATGGCCATCCCTCAAAACTCAGCCTAGTGACTCACTTGGTAGGTGGTAAGAGGTAAGAGTAGATTCAGAGACAACTCATGTCACAGAGAATACTGAACCACACTCTCCTTCCCACTCCCACCAGAGCAGCAAAGAACAGAGGAAATTCTAGAATGAAGAATGGCCCCATTGCATTCTCCTCTGGGGCTGGAGTTTTGTGGATACTCATGCTGTGTAACTGCTCCTTGGGGACTTCCAGGGGACTGGTGCTCATAGTGGGAGTTCAATCAGGGTGAACAGCTGATAGTGCTAGCACCATATGCCTTGCATTATGGCTGATGTGCCAAACATGTTCAAAGATTCTTGGCTGCAGCACTATGGAAAGACTGATAGATTGAAATAGGTGGTAAAGACCCTTCTCAGCCCCCTGGAAAATCAATGTATGTGGTCCAGTCTCTAGCCCAAAGATGTGTCCGTCGGTCTCATTCAAGTCTATTAATCTAATGGAAGTACTTCCCAACTTTTCTTTCTCTTCAATGAAAAATCCCTTTTCCTCCCAACCACTCTGCCCCCTCCCCTCCAAGTTCACTACCTCCAAACCAAATTTCCTCCCCTGCAGAATCCCGTGGTATTATCCTTCCACAATGCCCAAGGGAAATGGTCTCTATTAATTCTTGCTTCCTCGCATTTTCCATAGCCTTATCCATAAAGATTTCTACCTTGTCCTATACTGCTATTTCCAGACCAATGCTTACCACAATCTGATCTTACTGTTTAACCTTACCTGTGGGAATAATGTGGAAGATTTCAAATATATACAAGCATAGAGATAGAAGGAAAGGGAATCCCCAAGTATCTGGGACCTAGCTTCAGCAGTTATTCATTTACGGCCAATTCTAATTCATCTAAGCCCCAAGTTCCCTTGCTGTCCCCCATTGCTACCAACTGATGATTTTAAAGCAAATCTAAACATCATCTACATAAAATTCAGCAGCTCTAAGACATAAGGGCTTTTATTTAAAAATTGCTGTATCACCTCATAGCAACTAAATAGCACCAAATATTCACTACTCACAGTTCCACAGTTATCTGATCATTGTTAAATTTTGAGTCAAGAAACAAAGCCACACACACTTTATTTGGCTTATGTTCTCTTAAGTCCTTACACGGGAATCACACCTGCCTTCACAGAATTATTGCTAAAATCAGATAAAATTATGCATAAACATCAGGCTGTTTCTTATAATGTTCTTAAAAAAACTTCACAGGCCAATGCTTGCATACACATTTATTAAGATGCAGCCAAGGGAGATGTGTTAGCCCCTCCCCTAGAGTACAAACTTCTTTATTGGTGTGTAACAAGGCCCAAGGGCTAGATGCACTACATAATCGAAATCAAATGTTAGCTTTTTACAGACTTGGCCAAAATAGCACACCCCCAAACTGCAAGAAATTCAAGTATTTCATATCCTTGTTTTTATTATACTTGACATATACATTTTAATTTTAATGCTTCTTGCAGAGCCACATAAAAAAGAAAAGAAAAGAAAAATAGCTCTTATTCTAATTTAGCAGAAAGCACAGCCATCGGGTGCAGAGGACAATGCAAGCACAGCTGCTTTTCATCCATAATTATCTATATAAGAAGCATGCTACCATTCACGGAGCCTCTAGGAATGCATGCACATGAACTTTGTGGGGCGTGGGTTTCCACCCAGCATCTCTTTATTCTGGGTTCTTATCCTCTTCTGAAAAATGGGGGACAGATTTCTTGGCCACAACGTTGTCCAGCCTCTTTCCTTGAAGATATGGATTAACACTCTGGAAAAACAATACGTACTTTGTTATTACATGTGACTCTCAGATACAGACATCTCATACAAGCATGTGAACCAATGAATGTTAGTTTGAAAAGAAGTTGGGTCTATAACAACTGAGCATAGTGATTTTAAAATTTGAAAAGGCTAACCAGGTAAGATAAAAATTCTGCTTATTTAGATGTTGGTAGAGAGCTGAGAAAACTGGTGAAAATTATTTTATTAAAAGGAGTTTAAGCCAGGTGTGGTGGTTTAAGCTCCATGTCTTTAATCCAGCACCTGGGAGGCAGAGGCATGTGGATCTCTGTGAGATCAATCAAGGCCAGCCTGGTCTACATAGAGAACTTCAGGCCATCTGGGATGGGGGGAGGAGGGAGAGAGAGAGAGAAAGGGAGGGAGGGAAGGAGAAAGAGAGAATTTTAAAGGAAAGATTAGAAACAGTTCACACTCAAATTGCATGTTATTAAATTCTGAATTTGCTTTAAAAACCAGGGTATCATAGAATATTTATTAAATATGTGCTTTTGATAAAAAATAAAACATAGACCTGGCTTCAACTATAAGATTGTCAAATGATTGGTTTAGCATAAAATAAAAATGTACAAGTATGTATATGTCATTTAATTTTTTTTAAACAGGGTCTCACTGTAGCCCCAGTTTGCCTGGCACTCTTATGTAGTCCAGGCTGGCCTTGACCTCACTGAGATCTGCCTGCCTCTGCCTCCCAAGTACTGGGACTAAAGGCAGGCACCACACCCTGCTGAATTTTTTTAATTTTTAAAAATTTTGATGTGTATGAGTGCTTTGCCTTTAGCATAAAATAAAGAATTTCAAGTATGAAAAAAAAAGTAAACGAGAGAGAATTGTTTCCTGCATATTGGGTTAACAACAAAGTAAAGTAGTATTTACCACCTCCCTGCCAAATGATGGCTCAGTGCACTAGTTAATACCTCAGTGGCCCATATACTCACAGATGCTACTAATTATAGTAGTAGCATATTTCATATAACCATAGAATTCTTGATCAAATGCCATGTGTTTTTTTTAAAATTACTATCTTTAGCTTAAAGGTTTGGGGTGAACCAGAAAATGTTCTTGATACTAACAGGTACCAAATCCCACAAGAAAAAGAATGATTATCCTATAGTCCTATTTAGGTGGGAAAAAGAATCTGAAAAGCATTAAATTGTTTTACAGGAAGAATGTTCAAAGGAAAAGACAAATAGGGCCAAGTAGGAATTAGTATGTGAAGACTGGTCACAGTCTTTGTGGCTGTGATTCTTCCATACCAGTATTCTGTTAAATGGAATAAGGGCTCTAGAACTCACTTCCACCTTCCCTTGGCCAATTTCAAAAGCTGAAATAGAACATGAAATTATCCAGCTTCAGGACTCTATTCTGGAATCTCTTTCATCTGCTCATGTTCTGAATGAGTCAAGGTTTTTCCATTCATTCTCTAATGCATATCAATTTTTTTGAGGTTTGGATTTGAACTAGTAATTGGAGCTTTACAGCATTATCTTTAGTGAGCAGGAAAAAAAACTTTTGGAAGGTATTTGTTTATTGAAGCTGTCTTGCAGTAATGGAATCTTTTTATATAAGAAATAGGCTGTGGTTACAAATAGTGAGCGATCATTACAATGCTCAGCCCCCACAAGCGGATGGATGCAGTTCTTAGGTGGGCCTGGCCTTCCATGGCATTCTTGAAAGGTGAGCAGACATTTTTTTTTCCAAAAAAAAGGATTAGAACATGAGGTTAACTCTTGTAAATGTTCTTACACATTCTAGTGGATAAAAACATCAGTCACGATGGACCCAACCCACTCTGCAAAACTGTATTACAAATAAGGTGAAGATTAAAATGTGATCAATGTCATTGTATCTGAAAAGCAGCACATCAGAAAGATATTCATCTGTAAGTATTCAAAATGGTACTCTTTCTATTGGAAATTGTCAAATTGAGTGGTCTAGCCCATCCTATAGAATCATATAAGAACCTTTGAGTAAGTGATGTGCCTAGAACTAATGTGCCTAGAAAAAGTATATTGAGTATTATAAATATTTTCTACTTTGTAATAGCATTCCTTCTGAACATCAACTAGGAATGCAAATTGAGTCAGTATAAAAGTCACATAAAATAACCTGGGGCTCTGGCTGTAACTTACATAGGAGCAAGACCTGCTTTCCAGACCCAGGAAGGTTGGAGGTAAAAAAGGGAAGAGGGAGGAACACATCATTCCTTAAAATCTTTGGATTAACATTCAACTATTGAATCTAATGCTTGGTTTTGACTGTATTGTGAAGAACTCAAGGCACTTATGTATTTACAGTCATACTCAGGTGAGTTACTGGGCAGCTTAGATAGAGTTCATTATTCCCATGTGACAACTGGAAAGACCACTCAGAAAAGATCCTCGCTTGCTGTCTTCTACGAACCCTCAGCAAATGGTGAACTTCACTGAAGGAAGCCTTAATTCTTCAAACAAGTGAGCCATGATTTCTCTACATTGATTCATGCTCTGGAAAGGGTAGTTAAGGTCCTTAATAAAGATGGACTTAGCATCTAAAGTCTAAGGATGCTGGAGAGAGGCACAGGGCTAAAGGCAGAAGAATGGGGCTTTACAGATGCCTGGGAACAGAAAGAACTTGGTACTCTGGGTCCAAGTGACCCTTATTTTCCAAAATTCTAAGTCTTGTCTATGTGGAGGAAATTGAGGCCAAAGTAAAAGTCCTTTATAACATGTGTCTTAGCCACAATTCTGAGTTTGGGTAATCACTGGCCTCATGGAACTGTGAGCTAAAGTCAACCTAAGTTACACACTGAGTCAGGGCACACGGCATGGAAGCAGAGCAAACCAAAGCTGCATGCTAAGTTACTCCTGTGGAGAGTCATTGGTCTTATTTGGAAACGTTCTTGTTGTGCCATCGGGAGATAGTCAAGCCATCTTCCTGGTAAATTATGTGTATTCTGAGCTCCTAGAATACAATTTCTTGATGTTCTCTCAAGAACACATTCCACCCTTCCTGTCACCATCTGCCTTGGAAGCTGTAATCACCAAGAAAAACCCCTAATAACCGGGTTAGCTCTCCCAAAGAAAATCTGCTTCCGGATGTAACAACTTTCTGCTTCTTGCATAGGAAATCAGCTGTGGGTCTTCTGTGTTTTGTCAGGCAGCACAGGGGCCTTATGATTAATACTGAGGGAAGAAAATCCACACTTCTTAAAACACTCTCCATCTGAATTTGGTAAAGCTACTCAGAATGGTCACTGTTACCACTGTCCAAATTCCCAAAATTTTCCAAGATCTGCGTACTTGTTATTCTGAATAAATGGCGTTGGGTATGTGTTTTGGTTTGTAGGTCTTAACTACAATAGTTACTATGGTATTAATTTGTTGTGTAAAGCAGAGCTTTTTCCCTTCTACCTGGTCAGGAAAAAAGGCCAGTGTTCAGGTCTGTCGGCCCAGTAGGGTAACAGTAACATCAGCAAGATGTACACTGATCACTGTTAAGTCTCAATGCTGTAAAATACATTAGAAACTCCATGCAACCTTGGCATTCAGCTTCTATCAGGCAACACCATCTATACAGTAGCCAAATACAGAACATAGAGACCACAGGCCCACCCTGGGCAGTCCCCAGATGATTTAAGTATGCAGTACATGCAGCACTTGGCAAAAGAGATAGGAGAGGGGACTGCGCCAGCCTGTCTAGGCTGTGGAAGAGATACAAAGACATGTGTCTCCCTCATCTTATCTTTTGCTTGAACATTCTTTCAAAATTATGGCCTAGAGCATGCACTTCAACACTCCTTTGTTTCTATCTTGTGATTGATATAATTGATGCAGATGTGTGAGCAGTTCCTTCTACTGGCTTCCAGAGCATTTGAGGAAAGACATACCCTCATGTCCTCCCTGTATTCTAGTGCCCTCGTGGGTGGGATACTCATGGTTGCTGACTGGAAGGGAGGTGATGGGTATTCCACAAAAATCATGTACTAAAGATTGGGGAGAAGACCACCCCAAAAACCAAGGGTATACTTGCTGGGCGAGGCCCTCACCATACAGAACCTTTATTCTGTTCTTTGGACCGCATCAAAAAGAATTCTGCTACTTCCCCCAAACCAAAGGCTCTGGCTTGTCAACTATCCCACTCAGAAACATTAAATATTCCAGCAACACCCCAGCCAGGTGCATGTTACCCTTCGCTTCCGTCTCTGTCCTCCCTTCATCTTCTCATAAAGGAGTTTCTTGTTCTAGAGTGGAGAAAAAAGAAAACACAATGCAGAAGTATGGACTGAATTTGGTGACTGTCTATTTTAAAAGCAATGCTTGGTGTGTCCCCTGGATATTTACATACACATATTTTGGAAACAAAGCTAGATGAAAGGAATGTCGTGTCAGAAAGATAGACCACAAGAGAAAAGCTGGTGACTGTGGTGCTTTTCATAAAGTCCTCTGCACTGCCTCGAGGCACACAGTGTCATTAACAATCACAGAAGCAGGGAGAGATGGCATGCTGAAACATCAGGGCGCGGGAAACCCATCTCCTCACTTTGAACAGCCTTTGTTTATAATAAATAACTTTATCTCAGTATCTAATTCCATTTTTATGAACTACACACATGATTGTTCCAAAAAGCAGCATCTGACCATTAACAACAATCTTCTGTGTAAATAAATGAGATGAGGCTGACTTCTGCAACCATCCGTCCTGTGGTTCAAGTTAGTACCCCCATCAAGACAATCACAAAACCATTTGGTCTATAACATTTTTAATAGAGTGAACCTTTTAAAAACTGCCAAAAAGCTTCTTGGCAGAAAGGAAAGTTATGCTGGTGGTGGGGAGGGACTTTGTTACCACAGTTTGTATAAGTGTTTCCACATACTGTTGTGTTTTCAAACGCAGAAGATTTAAATGAGCTCTAGAATATCAGACACATGCTCAACACATTTCCCTCTAGTTGACATTAAAAAAGACAGAATACTTAACCTGAAGGTGGAACTGCAGAAGGGCACTTGGGTTTTTTGCTTATGTTGTTTTACCTATTTGATTTTCCAATCAGAAGGAAAAATAATGTATAAAAGAGATGATTCATCTTGCTCTAACTACAATACTTTAACATTGACGTCTAGACAAAGGAAATGACAAGAGTTCTGGTGAGGAGCAAGTTCACACAGCATCTGTATCCTCTGAGCTGTCTGGTTATTAACAAATATCTAAATGACAGATTTGAAAGTGAAAATGATAAATGCCAAGAAAGAGATTTATCGATGTCTTGTTCATTAAAATCTACCCACCTGCAATTTACAATGAGCATTCTTGCCCAGTCAACTATGCAGGGAGTCTGTGCCAGGAGAGAAGGAGCTTCCACTGCCAGAAACATGGGCATTGGCCAGAGCCTCTGTCTCTGGCTCACTTGGGGTATGGATCAAGTAACTATCAGAAGGGAGAAGAGGAAGGCCTGTGGATCATTCCCTCGAGGAATGAGGACATGGTAATTGGGCTCAACTTCCGCCTCTGAATGTAAACAATTCTGATGCACAAAGAATGTTCTGGGTGCTCATGCCAGGGCTGGAAAGGAGGCTGGGGTAAAGAGAATGAGGTCAGTGGCTGCTCATAGGCATCATCTTGTTCCTCGTTCTGAGCTGGAGAGAATGCAGAGGGCCTGTAAGCTGATGTAGTGGGGCTGACTGCCCATCAGTCTCAGCACAGCTCCAGCATGCCTCCAAGAGGATAAAGGTAGCGGTATCTCAATCTCCTTTAGAGGATCTTGGGGAAAATTACAACCAGAAGCTGGCAAGTCTTTCTCTCAGATAGTCCCTGCTTTCCCGGAGAGTCGAGGTTAGGACCTGTGCATTCATGCTTCCCCTCTCCTCATGAATGCAGCTGGGCTTTATCCATTAGCCTGTTAATGTATAAATTTAAAGGCAGGGGTTGGCAGGTATGGTGGGAGTGTAACACACACACACACACACACACACACACACACACACACAAAATGAATGAGAAGAAATCAGCCACCTCCTCTGAGCTCATTTGTTGTTATTTCCTTGGGGAGGAGTGGCCTATTTTCTAGGAGAGCAGTAGGTTTAAGTTCATTAAGGGGTTTTCTATTGTGCCATCAAGATCTTAAGGTTTGGACAACTGCTCAGTTCCTGGTTTCAAAGCTCATTCTTTTATTTTTTTTGTTTTTATTTTATGTGTATGAGTATATTACCTGCATGTATGTGAGTGCACCCGTGTCATGCAATGCCATGGAGGTCAGAAGAGACCATCAGATTCCCTTGGAGCTAGAGTTATGGATGGTTCTTAGTCACCATATGGGTGTTGGGAATCGAACCTGGGTCCTCTGCAAGAACAATCTGCACTCTTAACCTCTGAGCCATCTCTCCAGCCCCCTCAAATCTCATTCTTAAATGGGCCTGGAGGGGGTCTTCTAGGAGAGCACATGAATGAGGTTAGAACACCTGTTTAGGGCAGAAAGTAAAGAGGTACTCAAGCAAGTGGTAGAGTTGTGTCAGAAGGAAGGAAAAGCCAGCTTGAAGAAATCCCTATTGGTCGAGTCTAGGACATTCTGAAGATCAAAATTAATAACAATGAGCCCATAGACATAACAAATAAACAAGCACATTTATAAGAAAACAAGAGAGCAGGGGAAATCCCCACTAGGAGTAGGGTATGAACCAGAAAGAACAAGAGAAGAGAGCAACAGACTCAGCACTTTGCAACTGCCGTAATTATAATTAACTCTGGTAAGCACCATCAGTGGATGCAAAATTCGTTGGTTAATGCCTAATGGAGAATGGAATATGAATAGTTTCAAAGTCCTTTCCCAGAAATTATTAATTTCAAATGGAAAAAATGATTATTTTACAGCAGGGAAATATGGTCACTACTTTAACAAAGAGATTAAAAAGACTACCAATCATGGGACAAGCTGATACCACATACCTCCTTGATGTAACATATCAAAACAACAACAAAATGAGGAAGCTTAAAGTGTTGATCCCATAGAAACAGAGAGAAGGATAGCGCCTACCAGAGCAGGAGGCAGGTGATGGAGACTGTGCACCACGAGCGCACAGCTGCTGACAGGAGGAATACCTGTAAGTGCTCTTTAGCGCAGTAGAGTAGCCATAGTTGACAACAATTGGTGTGTGTTTCAGAACAGGGTAGGGTACTCTGAATATTTTCAACATAAAGAAATGGACAATGTTTGAGGTTATAAATATGCCACTCACCCAGATTTGATCATTATACATTGTGTACATGTACTGACTCACCACATGGTAACCCATAAATATGGATAATTATTATGTGTAAAGTAAAATAAAAATTGAAAAACCATAGCTCAAGTCTAATGACATGGAAGCCTGAGATACACCTAAACTGATGTGTACCAGACAGTTTTGACATCTGTGATCACACAAGATGAAAAAAGTCAAAGAAGGACCATACCCTGCATATGCCCCATGTCTCAGCTTAGGCTCTGATCCATAAGTATTGATGAAAGGTATGCAAAACATCAGGAAAAGGAGACACATTTGCTTCTATCAATGTTTTCCTCAGAGAATAACACTCAGCAGTGAGTGCGTAAGGCTGACTTCAGCCTTTGGTCTTAGTCCCTCAGGGTTGTAGCTATACACACTGTTGGGAAGGCAACCAGTCCTGCATAGGACTTGATAGGCCACATCATGAAAGAAGAGTCGTGAAGAGATAGAGACGCTGTTTGTTTGTAAAGAACTCTGTAGTCAGATGATGGTGTTCAATTCCCAGTTCTGCCAATCACAAGCTCTACATTGCTGAGAAGGCTACCCAGCTCCCTGCGCCTGCCTTTTCTCCTCTATAGAATCAGTGATAAAGATGGGCAGTCTGGATGAGATGATCGAGGTAAAATAGTAGTATAGTGTCTGGCACATAGCGTGAGCTCCATAGATATTATGGTTTCCTATTATATAGTAACTGCACAATTACTGTTATTCTTCATTGGTGCATTCCCATTACCTAACACAAGGCCCAGAAGGCATATGATAATTAATAAAGTGTCTTGATGCATTAACAAAGAGAGAACCATGCAGGAAACAAGACAAACACTGATCTTTGTTAATATGTGAATCATTGCTAAAGATGCAGCTCAGCTCCAGCTGATGTCAAAAACAGGGAGGCAGTATCGTCAAGGAAGGAAGCGAGATGTGTGCAGTTTGGTTGTGAGATGACTGCTTTGCTAGTTTAAAGGACAGCTGAGCTGCAGACAGGCTTTAGACTATCCTTCTAAATAAACATTCAGGAAGGTCCCTGGATCCCAGCTTAGAAAAGCAAGAGATACACAACTCACACTTCCACGTGAAGATCAAGCAAATCCTGTTTCACTGCTAGATGGTAATGAGAAAATAAACAAGGAAACTTAAGTTTAAACAAACACATAATTAGAGTTGGTAAGAGGTGTAAACATTGTTCCTGGTCATTGATCTGTGATAGTTATTTTGTCTTTTACGTGTGGCCCTAAATTCTAGTCTTCAGCTCTGAAGTACACAGAGAATGGGGGTGGCTGAGAGGGACACAAGCTGAGGTTCAGGGAAGGGAGAGGGAAGGAAAAACTGTGGACACTGAGAAGCTTGGTGACAGAAAGTTTTCAAGAGGTAAGGACCGTTGAAAAGAGAAGTTACCATCTCTCACCCTATCATCTCCACTCGGGGCTTTTCTCAGACGCTTTTTCTCCTCTTTCTTATGTCTAGCATCTCAGTTAGGCTCCTCTCCCCTAAGACTTCAGGGACTCTCTCCTTAGTGTTTCAACTTCCTCACTTGTTGAGTATCAGTCAGCCACGCTGGCCCTCAGCCCCACATGTCCCTCTGCCGTTGTCTTCCATCTTTTCCAGCACTGGGACCTGGCTCTCACTGCACTGACAGAATGGCCAGCATACTAGTGCAGAGTTTGGCTAATTGTATTTTCATGCTTTTTGACTGTAAATCTATTGAAGACCAGTACTATTTCTTGGTGACTATATATACTGAGCACGTAGTACGGGATCTGAAACAAAGCAGGCTCAGTATCTGTTTGTTCCTTGCTGAATCTGGCTCTTGCTTCTGCTTGGCAATATCTTACCTCTCTAGTGTGGGTCCCTTCCCAGGACTCCTCTTGATTATATATATTCCTTCCTTTCTTTTTCCTGCTCCTTGCCTTCCTTCTTCCTTCTCTTCCTCTATTCTTTCTTTTTAAAATGCCCTCAGAGGAAGAGTTTATACCACCCATTTCATATAGATGCAATAGCTCTCCTTCATGCTATGTCTACACCATAGAACAATTCTATTTAGTTTGCTCCCTTTGAGATGCCTTGAATTCTATCTCCTTTGCTATATTTAGAGCCAACATAACTAGATTCACTTTCTACATTTTCTTCCTCTTTTTTACTCACCCTCTATTTTATTTCTCACTGCTCCATCGAGATAACTTTTATAGAAGGCTTTCACAATTGTAGTCTTTGATTCAAGTATTTTTCTGTTTAATATGTTTAAACAGTACCAGTAGGAAGAGAGTTGATAATGTTCCACAAACCAAATCTCCCCAACAGAACTGGGGTGGGGGGGATTAAGAGAATGATACAAAGTGAAGATGCAAGATTAACTCAGGAGAGTTGCTTTGCTGCGTGATTGGGAAATGTGTACTGAAGGCAGAGGGAACTGAGTCAATGCAAAGAAAGATGCTACAAAAACATGAAAGTGGTTATTAACTAGGATGAGTTCTTTCTCCACAACAATGCAGGAGGAAGGGAAAAGTTGAGGCTTCAGGATTCAGTATGCCCAGTAAAGCAGGAAACAAAGCTGTCTCTGGCCCAGAGCTGAGAAGGAACTAATAAGGTCAGAGGGGCTTAGGCAGTCTGGAGTATCTGCTGGGGTGGTTGGGGGCGGGGCACACACTCGTTCACTCGTTCCAGAGACACAGTGACCACCGACTCATATATGTGACTTAACACGCCTAGGCATTTCCCCACTTTTCTCACATAGCTTCAGCATTGGATTACACAGGCCCAACCGCAGGAGCCTAGACACAGTTCCATTCAATCTTCATTTTGTTTGGCTCGTTGTTCCAGACTGTTGGGATCTTCTTGACTCCCAGCTCTGTCATCCAGGGTTATCCTTTCCAACTTTGTGCCATCCGCTGAGAATCTGATAAGTATGTGTTTTTGGAGTGGGGCAGCTAAAGTAAGGCATGCAGGGTAGCCTGTAACATTCCCCTCCCCTCCTGACATGGATTCTTGCTCGAGCTGTCTTTTGGTGATACTGTGTTGCTACTTGGCTATGCTTCTCCATCTCTTCCAATAGGAGATCATAAAAGATTTTGTCAAAAACTTTACTGAAGTCCAAGTGCACCATGCCCACTTCATTTCCTTCATTAAGCTGGCAAGTAAATGAATAGCACTGGCAAAAGGAAGAATACAAGCAGATCGACAAAACTTGTTTTCAGCACACCAGTGCCAAGTGGCCATGATTTCTCTCCAAGTGCTTATAAAACAGCACCCTTCACTGACAGCTACACATAGTTGCATGTGACTGACAGCAAGCTCACTGCTACACATCTGGAAATTTTCTCTTTCCATAAAGCAGACTTTTTATATACATCTGTTTCCAAGTTTGAGCATCTTTATTTCTTTGATTTTGCAGAGATACGCAGAGATCGCTTCCCTTAGTCTAGAGATCAAATTTGCAAATTTTTCTCAGTAACTGTTTTTTTTAAGTCCTTTGCTTTTCATAAAGTCCCATACAGTGGTATAAAGTGCTACTGAAACCCCGAGGACGCTCTGACATGAGGGTGGAGAAGGGTAGAATAGAAACTTCTAGAAACTGTGGTTTGTGATTGGTCTAGATTGCTGTCTCTTTGGATGGAGTCCATGTGCTGCAGTGAAGACATGAATGTTATTTGGAATAAATAAACAAATGTTATTTGCATAAAGTCTTCCTCAACCAGAGGTATCTGAACACTTCTGAACAATTTCTCTTCTCTCCCTCCACGCAATATTGTTCACCTCTGGCCTCACTATCCACAAAGGATCAAAGTACAAATCTACTGACCACTGAAAATGAACTTACCCATTTTCCCAATCCAGGGTAGTCATGTTCCGGATCAAAAAGATGTTGGTGTAACTGGAATTCTCGACTGAACTCTGCAGTGTCAGGGGTGTTTTCTAGACATCCATCATCTGCTGCAAACAAAGGTTCTTAAGGAATGGCCAAGTATTTGTTGTTATTCTAAAAGTTAATTTATCAGAAAGATCTAGACACATGATAGTCAGAGTCTGTTCATATCAGACACTCCTAGTCACTTTCCCTCTGGAGTCTTAATCTCCCTGGGACTGTTCATCCCAAACTCCCACTCCTGGAGCAAAGACCCTCTGGCTGCTTCCCAAACCCATTTCCCTTTCCTCGGCATACAACTAGGCTAATTTTATAGCCTTGCTCTGCAATCATGTGAAGTCCTAAGCCGGAGCTGAGGCCAATAGAATATGAGCAGAAATGATGTATTCTACTTCCAGGCCTGTCCCACAGACCTCATGGTGGTCTACCTTCTCCCATCCTATCCCACCTGCCAGTATGTTGCTGCCAGCAACTGAGGATGTAAAGTATAAAGATGGCAGTCCAGGCTTCACAACCACCTACTTCCACCATCCCCTACCTGGCTGTGACAGGACATCACTTGAGCGAGAAACAAGTTCCCTTTGTGAAGAGCCACTAAAACATTCTATTTGTTTTACCCAAGTGTTTCTTTAAGTGCTATATATCCATTCCAGGGGCCCTTCTTTCTTCTCTTGGGTGAGTTCTTAGGAAGCACCCAAGTGTCTTTGAGATAGTACATTATGCAGTAATAATAACAGTCCTCAAATGGGGCTTGATGCTATTGTATTACACAGCAATGACTTCTATTTTGGAGTCAGGCAAGCCAAAGCTCAAGGACCAAGGGCAGCTCTTAGATGCCCTAAGAAATAGAGATGGTCATGTACAGAGCATTTAACACGAGAGGTTTTCAGTATGATGAAGCCCTGTCCTTTAAAATCAAAGCTTATTCTAATATTGCTCTTTTGTTGTTATTTAGTTTTGTTTTGACTGTTTCTGACCCACCGTCTTACTCTGTAGCTCAGGCTGGCCTCAAACTCACAGTTCTCCTGTCTCTGCTTCCTGGAGGCTGGAATTATAGGCATCTGCTCTAACAACCAGCTATGTTTGCTCATTGAAATATAAAACATGCCTTTCATTCAAATCAAGGAAAGCTTTATCTCTCTTGGCTTCTGCTTTTCCCTAAGCTCTGTCATTACTAGGTATGATGTTCAAAAGTAAGTCTTTCCTTAAAAATTTCTTTTTCCTGCCTCCAGTGTATTTTAGACAGCATTTTTTAAAAGGGAGATATGCAGGCTAGAGATGTAGTCCAGTGGTTTGGTGCCTGCTTAGCATGTGTTAAAGCCCTCGGTTCAATTCTCAGCGCCATAAAGAAAGATGGAGAAGCAGAGGAGGTAGAACAGAGGCCACAGAATTTCATTCAAGGCTGGGGAGGAAAGAGCGTTCCCTTTTTAAAAGGATAATGACCTGTCAAAGTCAATACCGAGAGATCTATTTGCAAGTGAAGTTGTCTAGCTCTTGGGACTGACATTCCAGGAGCTTGAGACATGTAGTGTCTCGGCCTTTAGTACCATGGAGCTAGAGGTTATTAGTATTGTAAAAAGACCCTAATGTGACTTCCCACTTCTCAATGAGTTATTTCTAACTTCTTCATCCATAGCAATGAACATGCAGGAAAGGGCTACCAAACAGGAGTTTCAGCAGCCTGCATGTGGCAGCTTTACAACCTTTTGATAATTGATTCTCAAGTACCTTTGAGTGTGCTGAGATTGAGTTGTGGAGATAAAGCCTTCCTCTGGGAACTGAGGAAATGTGTCCTTGGATTCACCTTCTCACCTGAGGCGGGGTTGGACTCTTGGAGTTGCACTGCTCTGTGCAGACTGCGCAGAGAGGGGCTGTGATTCAGAGGGGAGCATAACAGGGGAGTGGGAGTCAAGTTTCCATGCCTGGATTGTTCAAACGGGCTGTGCTGTAGCATGTATTTGCAAGGTGGTCTTAAACGATTTCTCACAAACGATAGCTAGATTTCATAAGTGATGCCTCTTAGATTGTGGTAGGACAAATTAAGCTTCATGGAATGATTGCAAAGGAAATGGCAGGTAATCTGTGACCGGGTCTGGCACTTTTTTCTCAGTGTCCCAAGTGCACACAGCCAGGGCTTGATTACATAGGTCTTCCTCAGGATAACCTAGAACTCCATTAGTTGTTTCTTTAAGGCTCTGGCTATGCTGCCCTTTTATAAATGAGGAAACTGAGGCTTAAAGAAGTGACTGATGGATGTGCTGGGGTTGACCCTAGAACTCAGATCTCTTGACTCACACTCTGGGTCTCTGTCCTTTGTCTTATAACAGAAGGTTCCAAACTTTATTGTGCACCAAGGCTGGTTATCACACAGGTGGCTGGGTCCCAGGCCCATAATCTCTGATTCAGTAAGTCTGGGGAAGGGCCTGGAGATCTGCGTTTCTAGCAAGTTTCCAGGTACTGCTGCTTTAAGAAACCACTTTAGAACTTTAAGAACCTCTGTACTACACTCTATCTTAACTTTCCAGACCCCCTGCAGAGATGGGTGTTCTCCGAAGTCTGAGCTGATCTTTGTTCCTATCTATCCAAAATCCTATAAGCAAGTAAAAGATGGCTGATGTGCTTGATGCCAGCCAGTGATTCAGGCTTTCCTGCCATCCTGGGCCAGCAGCCCCACACTGGCTTGGTCATATCCAGCTCTTATGTTCCACCCCCACATGGGAGCTCTGTGCTCCAGGAAAGACAGTGCCTCGCCCTAAATGAGAAGAGGAGCACCTTCCATCAGAGAGAACCCACACTGTAGCTGCGGGTCAAAATTTCCCATTTCCTCGCTCAAGAACCCAAGGCCATGTTCAATACCTGTTTTCCCAACAGGACAGGGATTTGGAGGGTCTGGGTAGCCCTGATCCTCACTGAAGTCCTTAGGGATGTTGTCACCAGTCAACTCTGCCACAATATTAGGGATGTTGCCAAAAGGACCCAGGTGCTGAAGACCCTCATGAGCTCCACCTGTAAAGTGAATTTAAATTGACATTTACTCAGGCAAATCACAGACAAAGCACTGGGCTTTACAAGGAAAGAAAAACATATCAAACAGTTCCTGCCCTATAGGCATTTGGAAATGCAGTAGAAACAGACACCTAACTATGCATCATTTCCACACAATGTGGATTGTGTATCGCTGTCATAGAAATGCTAAGACAATATTATGGAGCATGGAAAGACAGAGTTCTTTTTGGCTGTTGGGATGATAGGGCTCTTGGATGCTAGTTTTTGGCACAGGTGAGTTAATGGAGGCTGGACATGGACTTGGGTGGGGATGAGGGAGAAAAGAACAGAAATGGAAAGAACATTATGGCAAAAAGCAAAAGAAAAAAGTTACCAACATCCTGCCACTCTAGCTTAACAGCAAAATGTGATACATTTGCTCCAATCTTTTTTCATAAATCTTTATAAGAGCTGGAGTGATCGCTCAGCGGTTAAGAGCAGCTTGCTGTTCTTCCAGAGGCTCTGGGTTCGGTTCCCAGAACATATATCTGGTGGCTCACAGTTCCTGACACTCCAGCTCCAGGGGATCTGATGCCTTCTTCTGGCTGCCTCTCACACCCACATGCACATGTTCATATATACACAAATACAGATACAGACATATATACACATAAAAAAATTCAAAAAAATGAAAACATCTTTACACATTTTTAAACTTCATATTTAGTCACAAGCATTCTCCATTGTGTGCATGGGCTCCATTCCTATATTCATGAAGGACTATGTAGTTTTTTTAGTCAATCAGTGTACTATGAATTATTAACTTTTCTCCTATTGTGAGACACTTAGTATTTCTCAATTTTAGTCACTTAATTTTTTCCATATTTTGGGTTAATTTTCCTCAGGATAAGTTCCCAGAAGTCAAATTACTAGGTCAAAGGCTATAAACATTTTTACGGCTCATGATATTGTACTGCCAAATGCTTTCCAAAAAGGAGATACCAACTTGTAAAATAGCACCAAAATATGACAATACCATTTTTACAACATCCTCACTTGCATTGGGTTTCAAAAAAATAAATTAAAAAAATTTTTTTTTGGTCATTTAAATTCAGAAAAATTAAAGGGTCTGATAACAAATCAATCAAGTATTTTCTATGTGTTTATTTGGGAGTATTAATTTCTGCTTTATGACTTGTCTGCTTATGCTCCTGAAATTGCAATGTTTCTCTTATCAATTTGTACAAACATTTCACATAATAAAGCTATCAGGGCTTTGGCTGTTGCATTTTCTGCAAACATTTTCCCATGTTGTCTGACTTTGAATGCTGGTTGCTATTAAAATATTTTACTAGCATAAGTTTTTAATATTTGCATAGTCTGAGTTGTTTTTTTATTCTCCTTTGCAATTTCTTCTTGTCCTTCTAGACTTGTAAAACCGTTGTCCCTCAGAGGTGCCATCAACATTCAGATATTTCTTTCAGTTAATTTTAAAAATTAACTCTTTAAACCATGTATTATTTATTTTAGTGTGTTTAAGATAGTTAACCTGTTATCCCATCCTTGCTTGTCAATCAGTTTTGATTGTTCCCACTTCATCATGCCTCCAACACACTTCTGAGTGTCTCATACATACTTAGACATGACAGTGAATAGGAACAGCTTATACTGCATAATGTGCTTTACTGGACATACAACTGCATTTCAATTTCTGGACTCCTTCATTTCTTATAGCATGACATTTTATAAGATTCAGGAAACTTCCTCTTCCAGCACAGAACAGATCCTTTCTTAGGAGGATTTTATGTTTTTCAACTCTACTGGGACAAAGACACCCCTCCCTCATAGCTGCATCAATCTGTGTACAAGGTACACACAGATGCCCATAGGGAGTTCACTAAATCAAAAGATGACTTGTGAATAAAATTACAGCCAAATCTGGTGAATACATCTTATACTTCCACAATCACAAGAAGGATAGTTTTACCAACTGGCCACCTTTTACCACCTGGCCACATGAGGCTCCCTTCCACCTGGGCGATCACACTGGTTTTGTCTTTTTGGCTGAACCAGCTCCTCTTTGGATCAGCACATTGTTTTCCTTGCGAATGTAAATATCTCCAGTGAGATCACAGCCAGATCTCAATGTCTTTTTGAAGTATTTTTCCATCGTCTCTATTTGTTATGTTTGATTAACGTGTGACCCTAAAAGGACAAACTTTCCTCCTTTAATAGCATTAGCCTTCAAATTCAGACCCCATCCACATCCACATCTGTTTATGTTATATTGTATCCCATTGCTTTGCAATGAGAGTGGGTAGCATAAAATTTATATATTTGAAAAAAAAAGTGTTTCCTTGGTGGGCCAGTATGATTATTATTTTTGTAAGTTTTCCATGTAAATATTTAAAATAAGGGATTTATGTAACTCATGTAAATATAATAAATTATTCAGCATTATTAATTGTATTCTTTTTATTATTTTTATTTTATGTATATGTGTATGTTGCCTGCATGTATGTATACTTGTATTCTTTTATGGCCTTATTCATATTTTGTTATAATCTATGTTAAAAATCTCTATACTAAATTATTGTGCTGTATGTTAAAAGTATGCTATGACTAATAAGTATCTTCCAGTCTCTTATTCCTCATTATTTTCACTTTATCACTTTGATACTATGCTAGTTGGCACAGCGTCCAAGTTCTTCATTTTAATTCTGTTAGTAATTGATTGCTAAAATTAATTCACAAACACTTTGATTTGGAATTGTGTTCTTAGTCTGCTACTCTCATTCCATTGATTTGCCATGTCTTTATTTTTAGGCTTTCTGGATCTTCATGAAGGCTTATTCAAATCACACTGTGGTACAGTTCAGAGGTACTCTGGGGATACATGTTTAGTATTCTGCATTAAGCCCCCAAATGGCAAAGGCTAAACCAATATATCCGTGCACTTGGTACTGATATGTTTGAAGTTTAGTATAATCTTGGCATTGGAACTGCCACTGTGCTTGTTAGAGGGCATGCTCTCTGGTGTGTCAATACATGTCTCAACTTTTGAAAGCACCCTAGCATTAAGTGCCAGGAATCAGCCACCTTGGCTCAGAGAGAGCTCATGTCTTAATGCTCCATTAGCAATTAATGAAGGAAGCAAACACAGTTTCCCTTATGGAAGGCCTGCCAGGGCTCTGTTTACCTCTGTACACCAGTGCCATTAAAATGAATACAGCACTTGTTAGGAAGCAACAGATGTTTAGAACCAGGTAGATATATTTGAACACAAGCTCTTTTCAAGCCACTTAAAGACATCAAATCCAGATGCACTTAAAGAGGCAGGAACTGTGGGAGATATGTAAATATAAAAGATGCTGTCCTCTGCATATATAGAAAATAACTTGAAAAATATAGAAGGGCATATTCAACCATGGTTCACTATAATATTTAGGTTATAGGTAAATCTATTACATCTAATGCCAAATCAGTCAAATATTATGATGCTATGGATGTTGTTTGGTCCCTTCATCTCAGTCTCCTTCACAATCTTGCCTTAACCAAACACATTTTTAAAAATTATTAGTCACTCAATCTATTTAAAATATTTAGTGAGCACATTGTATAAATCAAAACTTGGACATAATAAAAATCCTAGATTCAGCAGAAGAGGGTCAATGGTAGAGCAGATTACCGTGGACGCTGCTGCTTTCATCAAGTTCATAGTCTACAGGGACATAAAAGGGAAGAAACACACATAATGCAGCTGGTTGTAATGGATGCACCTCATAACTGGGAAGCAATAGATGTCACTATCATCTGAAGAAGTGTGCAGACAAGATCCAGTAGGCATGGAAGACTTCCCTCGGGAATCAATATACAATGGTTTATCGGTTGCTATACAAGAGAAAAATGTGAAAGACATGGTTCCTACTCTCTAGTTGCTTCTTCAGCCTCCTTGGTTATTTAAAATTAGCACAACAAGCTAGTAGAGTGTAACAAGACACATTGCCCAGTGCAGATCGTCATGGTGTAAACATGGTACCATCACCATGCAACGGTGAGAGGGAGGAAGTTAAAGCTTGTTTTAAAACTGTTCCCCAGGCGTGGTGGTGCACACCTGATAGTTTGAGAAAATAACATTATTGGTAAAAACAAGATAATTTTACTTACAACTTTGAAATTACTTCAGATAATTCTATCCTACAATGAAACTTTATCTGTCTCTACCACAGCTGTGATACTCTACAAATATCTCTCTGAGAGAAGTGAAAAATACTTCATTCTTGTCAAATGAGAAAGGGCAGTTTTATTTATGTAAACTTTATGTAGTAAAATTGTTCCTGGGCCACTATTTCCAAAAATCTAGATACAGATTCATTGATAGGTTTTCTTTGTATTGTCATGGCAATAACACTGTACTTAGTTGTAATTAATTTAACATAAGACTTTGGGTGGGTGGGTCGATAGATGAGTATGAAAAAGCAGCAAGAGACCACCTGACTTCATGTAATCTGGCTAAAAGCTCTTAAACTTCTATAGTGGCCTGTGCTGGAACTCTCTGTTAAGTTCTGCCAATCTTTCAGGCACACTCTGCTCTCTCCTGCATCCCCATCCCCTGCTTTGTGCATGGATTCTCCTTTGCACATGGCTTTTAGGGTGGCAACTCAGCGGGGCAGCCAGTCTTGCAAGTTTCAGTCTCTCCCGACCCTCAGCTTTGCAACCTGTGGACTTGCCCCAAGACACCCTCAGGGCCCAGCACCTCCCACCCTCGCTGACCCAGAACAGAATTTGCCTGGTTAATTAAAACAGCTTTCATTTCCTAATCTACTTTCACAGTTAGGAGATTTTGGCTAGTTGTTAGTATGTAGTAAATAGAAAAAATGAAAACTGAATACCAACTGAGTCCCCAAATTTTACCTAGCACTGAACAGTCATAGATTTCCTGGTGTACCAATTAAATCTTAAGCTGTTTCTTAGAGTAGATCCCTAGTATTATATATTACCTTTGTGTCATCTGACTCTGA